CTGACACTGACAGTAACAAAAATACTAATAATAACACTAGCGCTACTTTTAGCACTATCACTGCTAGAAACAATAATAATGTAAACAACGGCTGGGGCTACAAGTATGACTGCCATAATGATGCTGGTTGTTACACTGGTCTTAGTAGTATCAACAGAAAGCTGGCGCTTCTGCCGCTTTCATAAAGGTAGTAACAGCAGCAGCAATCATTATCGTTATCACAGAAATACGGATAGCCCAAATCGTACTAGTCTTCGGATATTAAGAATATTAGTATTTGAAATACTGCTGCCATTATTAATGGCATCACTGTTACTAGTATCGATCGTAGTAGAAATTGCACTAATTGTAATGTTTTACAAGTACTTCTGTACTTTAACTTGTAATTTTATTAGTAACAGCAGTAGTACTAATGGTAACGGTGCTTCTGACACACAAATAAACAGCAAATCTATTATAATACTGTCTGCCATATGACTAGCACACGTAATAGTACTTAAGATAATGTTATTATCATTAGGAATGCAACAATCCGTACGACTCTAAATAAAGTAGTCCAGCGGTCTACGTCTGATAAATGACCAAAACTCATATGCAAAATCGAAAGACAGCACCTATGGTAAACCGGAAAGATTTTCATAAACACTAAAGCAACACGTTGGAAAATTGGACAATAATCAATTTTTTGTCTTTTACACAAACAGAAGACAGACAATCTGAACGCAAACACGAATGAACAGACGCTTATTGTAGTTTGTTTTTATTGTTGTCTGGGAATGTTTGCACTGTCAGGCCATATCCGGTTAGTCACGTCCGCTGCACTCTAAATTTTCAATGCTTCAGCTAAAAGCAGAGGCTTCAGCGTTCTAGAAGGAACTATTCCTCTCTAGTAACAATTTCTGTCGATCCTCTCATCCATACAGCATGCATTCCAGCGCTGCAATGAACAGCCATTGCTAATCAATAACGTCTATACATAATCTCGAATTCTACAGAATACAAATGAATTAGGGATTACTGCCTGTATTTACCTTCACAGAGAGCATCATGGAATTAATGACAAGGCGATCTACATGTGGAACAAGGAAACACTACATCTGGATTATCACTAGTAGCGTTGGTAGGATTAGCCGTACCATTGGCATAAACAATAACCATAAAAAACATGATCAAAAGCACAACCAGTAGTATCAGTAATAACAATAATCATATTACAACTCATAACAATCCTAACAGAACTGGAGGTAGTCGTGCTGTTAACAACAGAGTAGTAATACTAAAAACTGTACTATTCTTAATCTGTTACTGTCATTTCTAATAACTACTAGTACCAATAACAGTATTACTACTAACAGCGTTAACAACATCGATTAGAATGCAAATAACTGTATAACTGCCATCACTGCCAATACTCTAATACCGCCGTTCTGGCATTGGTATAAATAGTGGTAGCATTAATGTCGCTGCTTACCAACGCATCCACTATCAGTAGTATTGCTAGTAGTAATACGGTTAGTGCGATGAGTATCGTATTAGCTATCAAAACTAATTATATAAATAATAATCTTGTGAATATTTTACAACCGTATTTACCAATACGACCACTGCAACCAATATAATTAATGTTAATATGACTATCATTTCTGTCAAGCAGCAACATGGTTAACAGTACTACTCCTGAAAACAGCATAAATGTCATCAGCATTATTATTATTACTACCAGTTTAAGCAGTAGAACTGGTATCAACAACGCTAACGGTGTTGCACCTGCCATCATTTCAATCAACACAGCCAGTACTTCTTTGATACCTGCATCGCAGGTTAATGGTGACTGGTTACACTGCTAGTAACAAAAAATGTCACTATTACCAGCAATTTATGCAATAATGTATTAATAATCTGGTATTAATGACACTGATATAATTGGTACCATTACTGTAAGATTGTTAGTAGTGTCATTGCTATTGCAACCAGTATAACTTAATCTACCATTTTTCACGCTTCGAGAATGCAGATTCTGTATCATGCCAATTTGAAGCTTCCATTCCTCAATCGGAGAGGTCTGTCAATTATTATCTACTTGTCTATTACAATCAATTATTTTTTCATCCGATATAGTGACTTGTTTCAGGTAACCATCGAAGCCTTCTTGGCTTCAAAACCTGACAATGAGCCAGCAGTTGTAGTCAAACTTCTGTTGCCTGGTTAACTCCAGTGTTCACCATCTTAGTTAATCGAAGTCTACACAGGGCCCACATACCTGACTCATTGAAGGTAGCTCGAATCACCTCTGTTCCAAAGGTACCTCCTGTCAGTGCCAAAACGTCACAATGATTTTCAGTTTATCGCAGTTACTTGCGTTACGCTGAAATGTGTTGAACTGTTGAAAAAACCGCATATCATCGAAGCAGATTGTTATGACCCACATCGGTTCGCTTACAAGCGTGGTCGAAGCACAGTATATGCGCCCAGTAAATTACACTGCACGCAGTTTGGACCAAGAAGAATGCGTTGAGAAGACAACCTGACTTGACATTTCTTCTGCTTTTAACACTTTATCACCGGCCACGACTGCTTAGGACACTTCATGATCGTAGCATAAATTCTCACGTTCAAAACAGCTGGCCGATTATCTATCAAATCGACCTCAGTTTGTTCGTCTTAACCACTCCTGCCCTCTCGTCCTCCTAAAAACAGGGGAGGGATGTAAGGTGCTGAGCTTTTCTTCGACCTCTTCACGTTCTACATAGACAACTCAGAACCACTCAAAATGTTCTGCACTTGAAATACTGAGACGACACACTCCAAGGAGGTGTTATAAAATTAAAACTAGACTTCATTTGATATCGGAAGTGTTTCAAAGCACTGGGCACCGAAACGAAGAACGTCTCTTGATCGTGAATACAGAGCAATCAATTGAGTGTACATTTGCCATGAAAGGCCTTAGAAGAACTTGTCTGACTTGACTGAGGCCAAACAAGATCCCAGTGTTGCGAGTTTGGCATTTGGTTCAGCAGTAAAACATTCCAGGTGTAATGATCAACAGTCACTTAGCTGGAGAGCGCACATTGACATATATGTGATTAAATCCAGCATTTCTTCTTATGTGTGGTGACGTCGACACCTGTCTATACCGAAATTATTGATATATCTCTTCGTAAAGGATTGTGTCATGCCTTCAATATCTTATGCTGTGCCTGGTTCCTTTTCCGGCCTCCTTCAGAAAGATTTCGTAAAGCTCCGAAAATCCATCAAGGTTATGTGGTTTCAAAGAAACATTCAGCTTCAGCTATACTTTTGGTGGAAATTGTTATGGCATCATTAGTTATCTGCCCAAGACAATTCATAACGAAAATTTCACCCTCAACAGACTGTTCTTTTCCAGTGGCTATCTAGAAAATCTATCACGCGATCGACCTAAGTATGTATGTATGTCCGAACCGCATTCTAAAGGCATTCGAATAGTGTCTTTCTTAGCAAGAATACAAACAAATTCTGTGAAGGAACGCAATCAACTGTTGGAAAAGTTCTTAACTGATATTTCGTCCTTTCGTCGATATATATATATATATATAAATTAAATAAAACAGATAATAATTGGAACTGGAGAAACAACAGGAATGACGTAAATG